ATATAAAGTTCAAAAATGCAAACTAAAAATGTTTTTTAGGGATACATAGAGAAATATGCTTTAAACCATAAAGAAAAGTAAAGAAATGATTAACCCAAAATTCAGGGTACTCACTACCTTTGGGAACTTCAAACGATGGTAATAATGACCTATGGGACAATGATGAATGTTCATTGTACTGTTATTTTTTACATATATTTTATAAATATGATTTTGTTTTATTCAACTTTAATAAAAACATCTTAAAAGGGAAAATAATTCATATTTCAAAACCAAAGCAAGTGGTCACTTTGTGATCACCAATTTATACCTATTTGAGAAATAAAAACAATTCTAATGACTTGGGTAATTGTGAATGTGGGCGATGTTATATCTGGATTCTAAAATTCACTGTTGGAAGTGTAAATTGGTAGGACCATGTTGGAAAACTGGCAATATCTACTGCAGTTGAACACACTTTCTATGACTTGGTATTTCAGTTCTTGTTACATAACAACAGATCTGCAAACATCTGTGCACCAAAAGATATGTACAAGGATAACCCTTGCAATACTATTTGATGAACCAAATGATTATCAGCAGTATATGGGTGAATGAATTGCAGTGTATTGGGATGCTGTGCAATGAAAATGAATGGATTACTGCTACACAACAGAAGAATGAATCTCAGACAATATTGAGTCGAAGACAAAAGTGTACATGCTATATGATTGCATTTATATAAAGTTGAGGACAAGAAATCTCATTTATGAAACCAGGGATAGTGATGCCCTTTTGGAAGGATGGTGAGGACAGTGACGGGAGGGTTTCTGGGATGTTGCTAATGCTCTTTTATTTCTTGAGCTGGATGGTAATTACAGGAGTATTTATTTTGTGATAATTTGTCAATCTATACATGTATGCTTTGTGTACTTTTCTGTATATTATACAAAAAGTTTCAGTTAAAACTGTATTTTTGAAGATATGAAAATTGAAAAATAAATGCCTTACAGCGAACAATGTGGACCAAGTAAAGATGGTGTGCTTTGGAAAAACTGTTAGATGACCCAAGAAGTTATACAGTTATGATTGTACACAGTTGCCATTTGTGGAACCAAATTTCCAGGACCTCACATTTTTTCCACCTCCGGGAAGATGCTAGGCATGTAGTAGGCTCTCAGTAAATCATTATGGGTGGAATGAATATTCCTGGCACTAACTTGGGAATGTGCCACCAGGTGTTGGCTGGGGACTCCCTCCAGAAAACTTGGGGCCACTTCCTTGGGGGAACACACAGATCAGATTTGTCATCAGAAACTTAAACCTGGGCCCTGGCTACTGTGGCTCAGAGGATTGCGCGCCAGCCTGCAAACCAAAAGGTCACCAGTTTAATTCCCAGTCAGGGCACATGCGTGGGTTGCAGGCCGGGTCCCCAGCTGGGGGTGTGTGAGAGGCAACAGATCAGATGTATCTCTCTCACATTGATGTTTCTCTCCCTGTCTTTCTCCCTTCCCCTCTCTCTAAAGATAAATAAATAAAATCTTTAAAAAACCTTAAACCTGAAGGTAACCAAGACTACATTTTCATTCTCATTCTGCCTTATAGTAAAATTTATTTTCCAGTTGATTATCCCTAACCTGTAAAGATGCACGATAGCATAGTGTTTAAGAACGCAGGCCCTAAATCTAGAGCACCTGAGTTCAAATCCTGACTCTACTACTAATTAACTGTACAACCTTGAGCAAGTTACTTAACCTCTCTATGCCTTGGTTTCCTCATTTATAAAATGGAGTTAATGATAGCACTTCCAGCACAGAGTTGTTGTGAGAAATAACAATCCATGTAATGTGTTTAGAGCACAGCTTTCAATAAATGTTTAGTAGCTACCCAGAATGATCTGCCAGGAATGGGCGGTCCCCTTTGTTAATCTTGATTCCCCTGAGAGCTTAGTCTTGTCATCTCCACCACTTCTACAGGGGTTGCCTTCTCCGCTGCTTTGTTCTGTGACACGGTCTTTGTCCGCCATCTCTTGCTGCAGTGCTCTCTGACACGTCTGTGCCTTTGCACCTATCATCCCCTCTGGCTGGAGTACCAGTCCCTCTGTTTGTCTGGCAAATCCCTATTAATTCGCTTTAGCTCAAATCAGTCACCAACTGGCTGAAGCATTTTTCCCACCTCCAGGCAGATTTAATCACTTCCTCTTCTGAGCTCCTGCTGCCTCTTGTATTCCCTCTATCACACTTCAGATCACTCTGTGTTACAATTACTACTTATATGTCTCTCTTTGCCATATAGGATATTCAATGAAACTAGGGACTATATCTTATTTATTCTGTGTCCCTTGGTATCTACCACAGGGTCTGGTACAAGTGGATGTCAAGAGAGATGTTGAATGACGGAATGAGTGGATGGATGGCTAGTGGGTGTTGGCTTTTTGGAGGCCTGATAGGTTCTAGGATACATGACTGCCCGAAGGCCAGGGTGTGTCGGTGCAGGGCACAGCTCACATCATTGGCTGACTGCTTAATAAGCAGTCAGTGATTTGGCTGATGAAGGTAGCGATAATAATGATAACAAAATAGTACCGGAGACTGACCTTGCTTCCTAGTGAGTCATCCCTGGCACTGCCTGAGAGCAGAGATCATGGCCGAAAGGTAGATGGTCAGTAAACAGTGGCTGAGCTGGCTCCAGACAGTCCCACACTGCCGTGACTCACTCTAGCCTGTGCTGGTGGCAAGAACCAGGTTTCTAGAGTCCCACAGGCCTGTGTTCAAATCCCAGCACAGTGATCTACCCAAACCTTGAGTAAGTTTCAAACTCTGTCTGAAACTTCTCTACCTTCCCTGGTTGATGAGACACAGGTCCCATTCCTAAGAGGGTGCTTATAAAGGAGAAAGAGTGCCCCACCTTTGAAACCTGCAGTCTCATGGAGAAAGCATTACTGTATTTTCCTTATTACATTGTACTACAATTCTCTCTTTAGTTTTGCTATTTTTGTGTTTCTTGCAGGTGGCTTGGGTAGGACATAAGAAGTGACTCGAGAGATAGCCAAGAAGCAAACAGAAGTGTAGCTCCCAAACTACATGGGGGATGGAGGGTAGGGAAGACATTTGAAAAGGGGCAAGGTAGGGTTAATAAGGAAAGCTATTTGGACGACGGAAACCTAAGTTGAGGGGGAAAGACTAGGGTGGGTACTGGAGAGGCGTGCCTTCTGATGAATGGTTGTTCAGAGTTGGAGGAGGGGAAGGGTAACAGGCAGGAAGACTCAGCCTGAGGGTTTAAAGAGGTGCAATGGTAAACTCATGGGATCAGTTCGTGAAGGGACAGAAAAGATAGAATGACCTGAAGTCCCTAAATCTGCTGGAATTGGATCCTACCGGGACATAAGGCGCCTGCTCTGTAAAGAATTGCCCCTTGTGTCTGCAAGGTGAGACGGGCCGTGTGTGCCAAAGTGCTGGAAGGGCAGGGCAGGGAGAGGAGCCTGTGGGCCTGAGGTCTGGGCTGGGCTGTCTGCTGGTGGATTACGGGTTGGGGGAGATGCAGGGCTTGTTCTGGGCTCTAAAGGATACTTCTGCCCTGGCCTGTGTGGCTCGGTTGATTGTAGCATCATCCTGTGACCAAGGGGATGCGGCTCGATTTCTGATCGGGGAACAAACCTGGGTTGTGGGTTCTATCCCCTCTTTGGGCACATGCAGGAGGCAGCCGGCTGATCAGTGCTTCTCCCTTGCATCAATATTTCTCTCTCTCCCTTCCTCTCTTTCTAAAGGCAATCGGGGTGGGGGGCGGGGGATATTTCTATTTGGGGATTTGATTAGGTCCAGATTGGAAGGAGTTGCTAAGAAGGGCATGGCCTGGTTGAGAAGAGGGTAGATGTTGGGGTCACCATGCGGAAAGGGGGTGATTGGTTAGTTGAGGCACTAAATGCCAGGCAGAGCCGTTTGACCTGGATTTGCAGGTTCTGGATAGACCTTGTAGATGTGCAAGTGCAGGTCTGCCACTTTTCCTTTTACTGTGACACACAGAAGATGGAGAACACACCCTGGTGTGAGCATGTCCCTCTGTTGCATGTCCCACCCTTGGGCGCAGGGGTGTATGTATGATCGTCTGGCCTGGGTGCATGTCTCTGCGGTGTGATGTGTTTGGGTCTGTTACATGTCACTGAGTAAGTATGTCTGTATTTCCATGCTGTGTGCTGTGTGTGGGTGGATGGAGGGTCTATTTCATGGGTCTATGTAGGTGTGTCTGAGTTTTACGTCTTGTTGTATAGGTGGGTGTGAGAGCCATAGGTCTGAGTTGTGTGCCTCTTTGTTGTGGGGTCTGAACTGTGTGTTTCTGTCTCATTCTGGGTTTCTGAGTGGTGAGTAGGTGACAGGGTAAGGAACAGGGACATGCGCCTTGCTGCTGCCACTGGGTGCCCACAATGGGTATAGGGCCAATTCAGCTGTGGTCCGGATCCTGGAGGACCTTAGGGAGAGACCTTAATGATGACTTGAATCCTAGACTGTTGTCCCTAAGTGAATGACCTCTCATTGAGCAATAATTAACTTGGCTCCCGTGAGAATTCAAACTGTGGTGGTGAAGGGGGTGGGGCCCAGTCAAGGCAGGCCGCAGTGCTGGAGAAAGGAGGAAGCCTGAGCGGGAGTCCCAAAGGCATGTGTGTTGTTATCATTCCCTCCTGTCCGCCCTGTGGGTCAGTCACCCTGACCTAGGTGCTATTCAAAATATTTAACAAACAGTGAGGAACAGGGATTGACCAATCAGAACAGGTACAAACCATGCGCTGAATGGAGCCGTCCTGGAAGCCATGGCCATGCTAACTGTTGCCTCTCTAGTTGCTGGACAATGGGAATGGGTTCCAGGAGAAGGATTGGGATACAGAGGCAGTGCAAGAGAGGGCAGGGGGCTTAGGGCAGTGGCTCTGAACCAACTGTCATGGAAGTGTTTCAGACTTTTTTAGAAAATATTTTATTATTTATTTTCAGAGAGGGGAAGGGAGGGAGAAAGGGAAACAACAGTGCGTGGTTGCCTCTCACGCGCCCCCTACTGGGGACCTGGCCTGCAACCCAGGCATGTGCCCTGACTGGGACACGAACCTGCAACCTGTCGGTTGGCGCTCAATCCACTGAGCCACGCCAGCCAGGGCTGCTTCAGACTTTAACAGCTAATGCGGCAGCTAAACCTCTGCTTGCCTTGGCCTTTGAACAGCTCCCAGGCCGGCCGTGGGTGTCCTCGCCCCCTCCCATTAGGAGAATAATGGACCATCCTTTTCTCTTGGCTGCAGGCTTGGGGTAAGTGAATGATGCCAAACAGCATAAATTTCAGGGACCTTGCCTGTTTAAGATTTGGAATGGGCTGCTTCGTTTCCCCTACTGTCTGTGATCTAACTCTCACTGAGGTGAGAGGGAGCCTGTAGGAGGCAGGAGCTGAGGGAGGGGTCGGTGAGGGGCTTGGGGACAAAGAGAAACCTCTTTCCCCCAAAGATAAAGTCAAGGAGATGATGGGGCTCTGAACTGGATTCAGACCCATGCAAAATAAATCTCATCCCCAGAAATGAAATCATCACTCGATTCTGAAAATTAATATCCCATTTCTCTGAGGCCTAGCTCCTGCATCCCTTATGGTTCCTTTCTCTGCCTCTGATGGGAGCTGGAGGCTGGAGGCTGGAGACCGAGGTCAGATGGTCCCTTCTACATGCACAAACTACAGTGTCATGCTCCAAGGGTGTAAAACATTTTATTATAAAAACTAATAAGTTAAGTCAGTTCTGTACAAAGCCAGTAGGACGTCTTATCCAATGAGCAGTCTAAGCTTCCATCCCCATCTCAAGAGAGGACAGGAGTCTTGGACCAGAAAATATGGGGACTACCAAGGGCCAGCCAGACAGCTGGAGCCCTGTGCCAAACCAAGGAAGGCCAAGACAGGGTGTGGCTGAGTGAGGGCCCATAGAGCCCATCTGGCTGGGCCAGGGCCAACTTGCTCCTAGGGAGCCAAGTACCATCTGCACAGGCCTGCCCGCTCTGGGGGCACTGAGTCACCCTTGCAGGCAGTTTGGCCAAATCAGTGCTTCCAAATTCTGCCCAAGCTACAGCTGACCTCTGCTTGGACTGGAGCAGGTCCACTCAGCAAAAGCATGTCCTCGAGGAGGCCAGCGATGTCAACATCTCCAATGACAGGGTGAAAGAAGAGGTCCCCAAGCAGGCTGGGAGGAATGGACTTGAGGGTGGAGGCTGTGAACAGGACACGAGCCAAACGACCTTGGCCTGCTGGGCACCAGGATTCCAGGACCTCACACAGTGCCTGATGAGCCTCCTGCTGCAGCTGCCAGATGTGGGAGGAGGCCTGGAGGCCTGGCATGTCTGTGGGCAGAGAGTGGAGAGGGCTGGTGAGCACCCCACTCCCCGCCGCCCCTGGGAGAGACTGGCCCCAGACCTGAGGCTACTGCTCAGCCCTTGAGACCCATTACTACCTCCTCCATTTACTTTTTCCCACTTTATTCATCCATCCATCTATGAGCAGGCAGTATAGAGTAATGCTGAAGAGTTTGAATCCTAGGCTGTCACTTATTACCTGTCTGACCTTCAACAAGTTATGTGATCTCTATGTCTTGGTCTCCTCATCTATAAAATGGGTATAATAATAGTACTTATTTCCTAGGCTTGTTAATTTTTTAAAATTTTTATTTATTTCTTTTTAGAGAGAGGGGAAGGGAGGTGGAAAAGGAGAAAAACATTGATTTGCAGGCGAAACATTGATCATTGCCTCTGGCACACCCCTAGCTGGGGACCCAGCCTGCAGCCCAGGCACGTGTACTGGCTGGGAATGGAAACGGTGACCTTTCGGCTCACAGTATGGCACTCAATTCCCTGAGCCACACCAGCCAATGCATAGGCTTGTTATGATGTTTAAATGAGTTGGTGTATGTAAAACCACAGAATTGGCCCTAACATATGGTAAGTGTAATGAGAGTATTTTCCTACTATTATTATAATTAATTACTATGATTTCTTGAGGATCCTCTTGGTGAGGAATTTTCATTTAGATGCTCTCCAGATTACAAAGAACGCTACCCCAATCCACTGGTTTCCTGGTTGAATTTTACAAAGGCTCCTCCCTCTCCTCTCCTCACCCCCTCATTTTCATTCCTCTTCTCTATGTGATCCATCTAAACCCACGTAATTTTACCTGTGAGGCACAGCTGTGTCGGCCCACCCTCCCCTCCCCCACTCCCATCTTCCCTGAGGGTCAGGGCAAGCTTTCTGGGCAAAGTGGCAAGGGCCTTTGGTGTGGACAGACCTGGGCCTCTCTTCCTGCTCTGCCCCTACCTGGCTGTGACCTTCAGCAAGTCACTTAGCCTCTCTGAGCCTCTTTCATGAGATGACTGGTATAAGGAGGACCCAAAGAGGTAACAAATGTCAAATCCCTAGCCGGTGCCTTCCCTGGCCAGGCCCTTCCCCCCCTCCAGCCTTGGCCCTCATCCTGGACTGTCTGGGAGCTCACCAGGGCTGAAGAGGATGGTCCCTTTCAGGTAGGCATACTCTTTGGGGCCCAACTCCAGGCTCCATAAGGACTCCAGGCAGCACCGAAGCCACTGTACTGCAGCAAAGGAGGGCTGGGGCCGGTCCGGCCGCTGGCCAGTGCCTGAACTGCTGCTAGGCTCCTCCAGCAAGATCTTCTTGAGTATGCTGGAGACTGGGGCCTCCGCCACCTCGAAGGTCACAGTGTCTTGGGCCAACCCAACCAGGAAGAGGGAGCCCCAGCAGCTCCGCAGCAGCTGCCGCTGATCCTGGGGGAGTAGCTGGCAGAAGGACGGCAGGTTCCTGAGGAAGACCACTGTCTTGGCAAGAACGTCCAAGGCCTCCCGGCAGGTGCGATGGGGGGCACGCAGCCTGACAGGCCGGTGCTGCCTGCAGAGGCAGTGCCTAGGGGTGGGGGGCTCAGAGGGCCTGGCCCTGAGGCTGGGGCTCAGAAGCGCATACAGAATGGCTGGGCGCACTGCAGCGCACTGGCATGGGCAGGCCCCTGGCTGGCTGGAGCTCATGGTTGAGGATCTGCTCCTCCTTCCTCCAAGCTCTCCCGCCCTCTGCTCTGCGCTGTGGGTGCTATTTATATTCCCAATGGGGAGGAGGGGGGGATGGCCCACAACCTTGACTCCAGAAGTCATGTTCATTGAAAAAAAAAAAAAAAAAAAAAGAAAAGAAATACACTGACCCTGGCAGGACTGGTGGGGAAGTGCCGGGGGAGGGATACTTGGGAGTTCCACGTGGCCCTGATATCGCTTCAGTCAATGAAGCGGATGGTGCAGGGCATAGGGCCACCTGTCCGCTGGCCCGGCTGCCCCTTATCGGATGACTCAAGTGGATAAACAGGGTCATTAACCCAAGCTGCACCAGGACACCAAGGCCTCAGGTGCACAATCAGCAGGTGGCCATGGCAGCTGTCCCTACTGCTGCCTGCAGGACTCACTAAGCTGGAAGTCAGCCCCAGAGCTGGGCAAGCCTTGAACACAAGGCCCAACCTGGAAGTGCCTTATCACTGGCTTGTTTGCCTAACCTTGGAGCTCAGCTCCTGTTGTTGGTAAGGAACAGGCTGCAGGGAAGTGAGCCAGAACTCTGGGGGGCTGGGAGGACTTTGCTCACTGTGCAGTTTGTGAGGCTCCTTCCTCTGACTCCAGTTATGGGGCCTCTGCAGAAGTAAGAGCCTTAAGAACTCTCTTTCCCCAATCTAGATTCCTAGAGCTCCTGAAAGGCTGTATCTTTGGGGAAGCCCTCACAGAATAATAATGAAATATGTCTGCTGTTTATTGAATACCTGCTATGTGCCAGGAACTTTCCGCTCTAATATTCAGGGCTTCCCTAGGAGGTAAGGTTTTTCCTTTTTGATACTCAGAGAGGTAAAGTGAATTGCCCAAGGTCATGCCACTAAGAAGAGAGAGAGAGCCCAGATCTGTCTGATTTCAAAGTTTTTGCTTGTTCTTCTACACCCATTGGCCCAATTGTGCAGTTAGAACTGTGGTGGCCTGAGTTTCCCAGAGTTGATGGCTACCTGGGCCCTCACCTTGGTACTGCCTTCTTTGCAGTTGTTGCCCACTGATGTGAACCATTGCTCTGTCTCTAGCAACATGGCAACTCTGACCCTGGCAACTGTCCCAGATGGTGGGGCATGGGGTGTGAGAGAGGCGGGAAGGTCCTCAACTGTGTCTGTGGGCCTTGCCAAACCCAGCCTGGGCAACTGTCACCGTTCCTGGCATTGGCTCCTGGCTCCCAGTTGCGACCTTGGGCTGATCCCCAAATCTCTGTTGGCCGTGGGACCTTCCTCTGGAATAGTCATGCCTGCCTGCAGGGCTGCTGTGAGGACAAAGTGAGGTCCTGGATGTCAAATTCCAAGCAGTTTCTGGCACATGTTGGGACTTTGCTCCCACATTGCTGCTGCCTAAGGAATTAAACCTCAGCAGACAAACAGGCACACCTCTTTCATTTGATTATTCATAATTTTAATCCTTACATTTATAAAGTTTCTTTCATGTCCTTTTTTTCTCACTCAACCTTCACAGCTTCCCCTCAAAGGAGACTCTGGGGTCAGACTGCCTGGGTCTAAATTCTGCTGCATCACTTAGCTGAGCGACCTTGAGCAAGTTGCTTTAGATTTCTGTGCTTCAGTTTCTTTATCCTTAAAAGGGTAGTAAGAAAGGCCAATAGTAGATATTGGTTTTATGGGGCCTAAAATTTATACAATTTGAAGGGCCCTCTTTTTTAATTTATTGATTTGAGAGAGAGAGAGAAAAACAGCAATTATGTTGTTCCACTTATTTACACTTTCTTTGGTTGATTCCTGTATGTGCCCTGACAGGGGATTGAACTTGCAACTTTGGTGTATCAGGACGATGCTCTAACCAACAGCGCTACCTGGCCAGGGTGGAGGGCTCTCTTTAATGATAGAAAGGCAAGTATAAAAGTGGGTATTTAAAATGAAAAAACAGGTCACTACCAATTATGAACTAAAATAAGCGGACTGAAAACACAAACATCAGAAACTCAGGAGAATAACAAAATACTTTTACTGATAAGTTGCCTGACAATATTTGCCTACGTGTTTTAGCAGTACACGTTTTGTTCATCTCTTCACCTGTCAATGCTATTTCTTTTGAAACCATCACAAACCCAAAAAGGTTACAAGTACAGGGAACTTTTTTTTTTCTTTTTACCCTGAACAATTTGAGAGGAAATTATTGCTAACCTAATGCCTCAGAACTCTCAAATACCTTAGTGTGTAATTCCTACAAACAAAGACGTTCTCCTATATAACCACAATATAATCATCAAAATCAAGAAACGAACATCTAATCTCAGACCCCATTTCAGCTTCACCAAATGCTCCTGTGAAATCAGTTACAGTGAAACGGCTCAGTCCAGAATCTCATATTTGCATTTCTTTGTCCTGCCTCCTAGTCTTTGTCAGTTGGATAACTTTATCAGTCTTTCTTTGCCTTTTAGGACCCTGATGCTTTGGAAGAGTTGTAATTATTTGGTAGCTAAGCTCTTGATCTGGGTTTGTTTTAGGTTTCTTAATGATTAGACTTGAGTTATGTATCTTTATTTTTTATTTAAAAATGTTTTATTTATTGGTTTTAGAGACAGAAACATCAATGTATTGTTTCACTTGTTTATGCATTCATTGGTTGATTCTTTTCTTTAAGATTTTACTTATTCAGCCTTAGCTAAATTGAAAGGTCCCCAAACTGAAAGGTCGCCAGTTTCATTCCTAGTCAGAGCACATTCCTGGGTTGCAGGCCAGTTGGGGACATGTGAGAGACTGCTGATCGATGTATCTCTCTCACATCAGTGTTTCTTTCTCCCTCCCTTCCCCTCTCCTTCCTTCCTATTTTCCTCTCTTTCTTTCTTTTCTTTTCTTTTAATATTTCATTTGTCTATTTTGTTTTGAGAGAGTCTATAACCTCCCTTCTCTGACACTGATAAATCTGGCTTCCATTCTTAGTTTATTAACTTGGATCAAACCCCTCTTTGTAACCAATCTCCCGTCTCTGCCCCACCCAATCCCATGAGAGATACCTTCCTCACCCGCTTGGGCTCTGATACCTTGTGTCAGGAGGCCCCTTCCCACTCAGGGTTCCCTTCTTCACCCTGCTGTGCCTCTGTCACCCCATGCCAGGTCTCCAGTCCTCGTGGTTGCCCTCCTCACCTTCCCGGGGCTCTGACTTCTGCTCTGTGCCACTGTGGCTCCCTCCTGCTTTGGCACATACCTCTACCTTATCGTGCCCAACCTAATTGTTTTAGGGCCAAAATTTTTCAAGAAGATAAAGGAAGAGGAGGATGTAATGCTGTCAATGATTTTTAAAAATACATTTCTACAGTGAGAATAGAAAGATGATTCTGTCTTTTCTCTTACATGGCTGGTCAAAAGCATTTCCTTCTTGAGAGTCAGGATACATAAATACGCCATTTCACACATAGATGTACATGCCACTTGTAGCACTGAGTCTAGGTTTGTAGCAGGAATTTTGATAAAGTACGTTGTGTAATTCCTATCAAAAAAGAAAGATAGCAGGGAGCATTTATAATTGCATGTGCCACGTATTCCTTATAGGAAAGATTTTTTTTTTTAGTTGATCTCAACATGAAATGACAACTTAATGATATTTGACAGGGTTTTGCATAGCTTTGCTTCTTGTTCCACACATATCCTTGTTTCTCCTCCTCCACCCACATACTTCCAGGTGTCTTGGGAATCATTCATATTGGGAAGTGGGATTAGAGTGGGAAGAAACAGGGGTCTTAAACCAACTGTAGTCTTACAATTTTATTTTTAAAATTAAAAATAAAAATATACATGACCCTAATACATTGCTGGGGCCTCTCCCAGTGCCTTGAGTGGGCCCATGCAAATGCAAGGCCCTGAAGTTCAAGCTTTGCTAACTGTACAGAAAACCTGCCTCTAATAGTGCCTGCCTTTCCTAGGTGTTTGTAAAGCTCACATGAGGTATTTGTGAGGACACAAAGTGTCTGGCACACAGCAAGTGTTCCATAAAGGAGGACAATTGTCATTATTGTTTTTGCTACTCTCGCCTTCACTTTCTAGAGGAGAAGGAGACCCAAAGAAAGGAAAGACCCCTCTGCAGAGGTCATAATAAAGCTGGTCTGGAGGCTGGATCCCAGGGTCCCCTGGGTCGCACACAGGGCTCAGATAACAAAGTTACCCACAGTGCAAAAAATGCAATCCCCTTCAGCTGTGTGACCTTGGGCACGTGACTTCGCCTCTTTGTCCCTGTGTTCTCATCCTCCAAAGGAGATAATAATAGCATTTTTATCATAGGAACACTGTAAAGGTTAAGTCATATAGTGTTTATAAAGTGTTTGGTATAGTACTGGGCCTTAATAAGAAGGCAGTACATTTTAGCAATACTTAATTAATAAGTGGTATCGAGCAAAGACTATTTGTTCAATCCCCAAATATTTATTGAGGTTCTACATTTGACTATGAGCTGAATGCTCAGATGAATCAGACAGGTGCTATTGGTCACAAAGTTTATATTTCAGTCAGAGTACATAGATGTAGAACCAAAATTTCTTAATTGTATATTTCCATTGCAGTAAGTTACTGCAGAGGAAGAGCACAAGGCACTTTGAAAACAAAAATCATGGAGATGGAGACTTAATCTGGGTATCAGGGTCAGTAAAGGCTTCAGAGAAGTCATTTTGGTTGAGACCTGATGGACAAAAACGAGTTGACTGGCAAAGATCTAGGAACTAGGACAGCACACTTGAGGAGCTGGAAGCAGCCAGTGAGGAGGGAGCCTGGTGAGTGAAGGGGAGTGTGGGACAAGATGAGGTTGGAGAGGTAGCTGGGCAGGGCCCTGATGGTGTTACTCCTTGGAAGCCACGGGTAATAGTTTGGAATTTATTTTGAATGCAATGGTAACCTATGAACGGCTAATTTTAAGTAAGGGAGTAATAATTTCTGGCTTATCCTTTAGAAAGATTGCTCTGGCTGCTAGGGGGAGGGTGGACAATAAAGGGGTAGGAAAGGAGGTAAGATCAGTAGTATTTATTTTTTATTGTTCAAATACAATGGTCTCTGTGGACCAGTAGTATTAAGTACATTTACAGTGTTGTGCAACCATCACTACTTTCTGTCACCAGAACTTTTTAATCTTCTCAAAGTCATGTGACTTTTGAGACATCTGTTAATTATCCAAATGGAGTTGTCCAGGAGGTAGGTAGATGAATCTGGAGCTCAGGAGAGGTCTAGGCCTGAAATATTGTAAGATCACCTGTGGAGAAAGTGTAGGGAGGAAAAGAGGAGAGAGCAAAAGACAGAGCCTCTAACATTTTTATCAGTCTGGGTATGACAGGGCACTGAGAAAGTGTTAGTGAGTGAGAAGGTAACCAAGCAGTGTGGTGACACTGATCCCTATTAGTTTGCTAGGGCTGCCGTAACAAAATAACTACAGAGTGACTTAAACAACCAAAATTTATTTTCTCACAGTTCTAGAGGACAGAAGTCCAAGATCAAGTGTTTGACTCAGTATGACTCTCTTCTGCTGCCTCATGTGGCCTTTCTTCTGCAGTCTCTCTTCTTGTAGGGACAGTAATCCTGTTGGAGGAGGGCCCCGTTTTTATGAATTCATTTAACCTTAACTGCCTTTTTGCAGGGCCCTATCTCCAAAAACAGTCACATTGGGCTTCAATATATGAATTTGGGGGAACACGATTCTGTCCATAACAGAAGCCTACGGACAAACGTTTCCATAAGGAAGGAGGGGTACGCTGTGGGAAATGCAGCTGAGAAGCTGAGGAAGGTAACAGTGATTTGTGGTCAGAGGCTTTTAAGAAAAGACGAATTGAACTGAGGAAAGATGGGAGGTAAGGAAGTAGAGAAACAAATATAACAACCTTTTCAAGTTTTGCTGTGAATTAGATCTGAAAGTTGGGCCCTGGCTAGTGTGGCTCAGTAAACTGAGCGCCAGTGTCGCCAGTTCAATTCCCTGTCAGGGTACATGCCTGGGTTGAGGGCTGGTCCCCATTTTGGGGCAAACAAGAGGCAACTAATCGATGTTTCTGTCACACATCGATGTTTCTCTTCCTCTCTTTCTTCCTCCTTTCTTCTCTCTCTGAAAATAAATAAATAACATCTTAAAACAAAAAAAGGACTGAAAATTGGGGCAGTAGAAGAAAGTGGGTGGCATAACAGTAAAAAGGTGAGTGACATTAAAGCATGTTTATAAGTTGAAGGGAATGATCCAGAAGAAATTTGTGAAACAGGAAAATTCAAAAGGAATAATAACAAGGGTAGAGTCCCTGAGAGACGAACATGATGAAACTCACTGCAAAGTGGAGAGGTGCTTGGCTGCCTGGGACTTATCCCCCATATTAACAGGACTGAAGGTGAATACAGTCCTATCACATAATTTGCAGGCCCTAGCGCAAAATGAAAATTTTCTTTGTTCATTGTAGGTTCCTTTTTCAAAATTACTAAGAATTTCAGGTCTCCATCAGAAGAGCATTAAACCAAGCACAGAGCCCTTTTACGCCGAGGACCAGTGCAACTGAATATTACGTATGCCCACGAAGCCTGGTAGAGTTGGTAATGATGACGGAGGTAGGTGGTCCTTTGGGCACGTCCCTTCTTTCTCGGTCTTCTTACGCGTGGAAGGACTGGAAGAGATGGCTGAGGACACTTTCAGACACTTTCAGATCCACCGTTCTACAAGCTGGGAAATCACTCTCAAGGCGGTTGAGTAATGTTTGTTCCTTTTGAACTTCCAAATCCCACCTCCCCCCCCCTCCCCCCTCCCATTTTAACCCCAGGATCTCTGGAAGGCTCCAAAGCGTCTGGTGACCATAGCAACTCACTCCAAACTTGGGGCCTTCGGTTCCACCCACCGCTTCCTGGGCGCTCTCGTTGATTGGCTCAGCAAGTTAGCCAATGGTTGATGAAGCGGGCTGTTTGCCGCGCGCTCAATGGTTTTCAGTAGAGAAAAAGGCGGGAAGAGAGGGCGAGAAGGCGGGCCGGAGCGGCGAGACAAGTGCGTGTTTCCGGCTCCGCTGCGGAAGGCGGAGGACTGGAGTTGCGGGGCCGGACGCGACCCGAAGGAGCGGGGAGAACAGGGGACGGGCGTGCGGAGTTCTGAGCTCGGAGCGTGGCTAGCGGACGGTGCGATGGGTGGAGAGCAGGAGGAGGAGCGGTTCGACGGCATGTTGCTGGCCATGGCGCAGCAGCACGAGGGCGGCGTGCAGGAGGTAACGGCCCCCGCGGCGTCGGACAGGCCAGGTTTAGCGGAGCCCGCCCACCCGCTAGGCCCTAGCCAGCCTCCCTCTCTCCTCTGTTTTCAAAGGCCGCGATCTACCCTTGGGCCTTCCAGGCTTCAGGGATTCCCCCCATATTCTCACCGCGCTCCACGCTTCCGGTCTGGCCTCCCTGCCTCAGGTCTTGCCCCCTTCGTATCAGTCTCAGATCTGGGCTCTGCTCAGTAGTTTCTATTTTAGCAACTCCGGCGTCCCTGAATCTGCCGCAGGAAAACCCCAAGAGCCGTGGGATCACCCGTCCCCGCTTAATCTCACACATTCTTCTGGCTCCATTTCTTATTTGATGGCCATCTGCGAAGAGCATCTCCTAGGACGAACCACCCCAGACATTGGGGTTGGCAGCTGCCGACTTCGAGCGAGTCAAGTGATGTGTGGGGCAGGGTAATGTTAGCACGTGGTTTTTTAAGGCCTTGAATGGGGAATAATTGGAGGCCTGGGTTCACAGTTGATTGCCACCAGCCCACACTTGGGACATTTCCATGTTTCCAAGCCTCAGTTTCTTTGTCTTTGAAATAGTTGTGAATCCCTATTTTCTGAATTTTTGTAGGAGAGTAGTGTCTTGGAGTAAAGGACAGTGAGGACTAACCAGAAGTCAGGTTTGTTCATTCAGCAAGTGATTTGAATGAGTGAATTAATTCACTCATTCAAATCACTTGTTGAGTGATTGGTGCTCGTCAGGCACTCACTGGACTGGGTCCTGGGGATTCAGACGGGAGCATAAACCCGTCCTTGCCCTGATGGAGCTTACAAAGAGTTTTTCAAAAGTATAATTCATGTGTAGTGACCACACACAACATAATGTGTGAACCACATGGACCAACTAGTATTGATTCTGGCGTAGGCTTGTTTGGACCAGAAACACAGAAACTTAGAGGTAGAAAAGCCTATTAACATCAGTCCAGAACACTCATTTTGTAAAGAGACCAAGGGAACTTGCTCAGGATCATCCAACAGGTTCCTGACCTAGATGGGACCAAACTCCTTGGGCCGGTTTGCTTTCCCGCAGTTCATTGCTGATTCTCTTGTCTCCCTAGGACGGGATTTTTATTTTTTAATTTTTTAAAATTTCCTAATTTTCAGAAAGAAACATCGATTTGTTGTTCCACTCATTTATGTGTTCATTGGTTGATTTCTTTTATTAAAGATTTTATTTATTTTTAGGGAGAGGGGAAAGGATGGAGAAAGAGGGAGAGAGAAACATGATGTTAGAGAGAAACATGGATCTGTTACCTCTCTCATGTCCCCAGCTGGGGACCTGGCCTGCAACCCAGGCATGTGCCCTGGCTGGGAATCAAACCTTTTGGTCTGTAGGCCAGTGCTCAATCCCCTGAGCCACCCCAGCCAGGGATTACTGGTTGATTCTTGTATGTACCCTGACCGGGCTTCCAGCCTGCAGCCTTGGTGTATAAGGATGATGCTCTTAACCAACTGAGCTACTTGGCCAGGGTCCATTGGGACAAGTTTTCACTGAGCTTTCCATTCCCATACTTTCACCCAGGTGCCTGTGGTGACCGGGGACTCCTAAGCCCTTTGAGGTAGGAAGAGAGTTAATAATTTGCAAGGATGAAAAGATTCTCCCCCGAAATTGTTAGCACAAAGCTGAATTTGGGAATGAGTTCATTTTTTAATGAATTTAAAGTGCCCAGAAACAGGAATTGAAACCATTAAAATAAGTTGTAGCATCAGATTTGGAACCATTCATTTGGGCAAATAAAAGCGTTTATATGTGCTTGCCCTAGGTCACCGCTAGATTTTTCATTCAGCAAACATTTTACTGAGCGTGTACTCTGAGCCAGATCTGGTGCCAGGCATTGGGAATGTAGACAGAATAAGCCATGGTTTGTGGTGCCCATTTGTGAAGAATTTACTCTTTGGCAGGAGAGCTCTTACTCTAAGCCACACACTGCTAAGGCCCTTACCTCCGACATCTCATTTGATCCTTGGAAATTACCTAGAAATAGGTCCTGCTGCGGTTTCTGTCTTACAGAGTTAAGAAACTTCCCCATGGTCACAGACGTAATACATGTATCAGTCTGATGCTCTTAATGACTTGGCTGCACTGGTGCCCCAGGCAGAGTTAGTTGGTCTTACCTTCTTTGAAGTGGCTTCATTTGCTCCTCTCCTTCTGGCTCTGCCCTAGTAACTCAGCCATTGCCACTCTAGTTGGGCTTTTTACTATCTGGAGAGTAAAGCTGGGCCCAGGTTTTTTTTTTCCTTCTTTAATTTATTGATTTTAGAGAAGGGGGAGAGAAACATCGATTTTGTTGTTCCATTATTTATGTATTCATTGGTTGCTGCTTGTATGTGCCCTGACCCTAGATCGAACTCACAAGCTTGGCATAGCAGAATGATGCTGTAACCAACAGCTACCCGGACAGGGCTGGGCCATTGTTTGTTTGTTTTTTAAAGACTCGTTTATTAATTCATTGAAAAACAACAATAACAACAACAAACTCATTGTATGCTAATGTAAAATAACATTCTTTATGAGAAATAACTATTTCCAAAACAAAATAAATTTAGTGAGAAGCATTATTTTACTTTTGAGGTAAATCTCTTTAATATTTGACTTAGTCCAAGGCAGATTCTGCTTGATTCTGATACCTGCTTCTGCATTCAATTTGTTGTAATACCACATGTCATGTAGCCTCTGGAAAACTACTGTATATACACTTGTGAGGGAATGAGATGAAAAAGACAAATCAATGTCTCTCTGGGTTCTCAGATCTCCAGATCACATCTTGGGGACTGCTGCTCTAACAAGACCTGTTTATTTCTTGCTTAAAACTTATACCCGTCTGAAATTACCTTGCTTGTCTGATTCCTGTTTATTGCCTGTCCTCTTGTGTTTAGTGGTTTTTTTCCCTTCTTTTATTTTTTGTTTGATTTTATATTTTTATTGAAATTATTGCGGTGACACTGGTTTATAAAATTATATTGGTTTCAAGCATACAGTTCTATAATAACATCATCTGTATATTGTATTGCGTGTTCACTACGCAAAGTTGAGTCTCCTCCCAGGGCCCAGGCTCTTTTCTTTCCTTATTTTCACCTGAGGACATTTTTTCATTGCTTTTAGAGAGAGGGGAAGGGGAGAGAAACATCGATGTAAGAGGGAAGCATTGATCGGTTGCCTCCCATACACGCCTAGACCAGGGATTGTATGTATGCACCTGGACCTGGGACCGAACCCGCAGCCTAGGTATGTGCCCTGATTGGCAATTGAACTCGCAGCCTTTGGTTACGGGTCAGTGCTCCAACCAACTGAGCCATACCAGCCAGGGCGGGGGCCCAGGCTTTTTAAGCCCTGGATGCAGGAGGAGTCCTCCATATTCTTAGGCTGCTTCTAGGGCCCCAGGGAATGTGAAACATTCTTACACATACACACAAGAAATGAGAATCTGCCTTTCAGGAGATACAGGTAAGGTTAAGTTAGGCTTTCTGGCAGAAGTGACTAAGGTTGGGCCTGTTGGGGAGGATGTCTCCTTAGTAGAGAGGCTCAAGGGTAAAACAGTTATGCCCTAAGTTCCCTCGTAGATGAAGGAAGTTGACTTTTGTGTAGTTGAGGAGCTCCCAGTGGGCCATCTCTATAGCTTCAGTCTTCTTCTGTCTTTCAGCTTGTGAACACTTTTTTCAGCTTCCTTCGACGCAAAACAGACTTTTTCGTTGGAGGAGAAGAGGGGATGGCAGAGAAGGTGAGTACTGGGAACTGCTATCCCTTTGGTAGCTTTGTTTTTTTAGAAGAAAAGCTCACCTAGCCTTTCTTCGGTGTAATAGTAACCTTCAGCAGAAGTGAAAGGCCGAGGGCGAAGAGTTGGGGGACGGAAGCAAGCTGTCATTTATGGAAGCCCCTCTCTCTGCCAGGTGCTTAATGTGCCCTATTTCCCATGAAACTTCTGCAGTCCTAAGGGGTAGGTGTTACTGTACCCACTTTACAAATGAGGAAGTTGGCTCTGGGGTGTTTGGCACTTTATCCAGTGTCTTGAGCTGAGTTGTGGGAAAGCCAGAGTTGGAACCAAAGTCAGTTGTAAAACTGTCTTCTGCCCCTGATACCATGCTTCCTGGTTCCTTTTCCACTATGGAGGTTTTATATAATTACCTGGCTGGGAAGTGAGAGCAGGCAAATGTTAGAAACTGAGCTTAGCCCTGGCTGGGTAGCTCAGTTGGTAAGAGCATCATCCTGATACGTCAGGGTTGCAGGTTCAATACCCAGTGAGGGCACATGCAAGAATCAACCAGTGAATGTATAAAATAAGTGGAACAACAAGTCAATGTTTTTCTCCCTTGTTCACTCTCTAAAATTAAAAAAAAAAATTCTGATTTTGGGGGGGTTTATTTACTTACAGAGAAAGGGGAGGGATGGGAGAAAGAGAAAGCAGTATCAGTGTTCTAGAGTTACATCGATTGGTTGTCTTTTGCACACTCCAAAGTGGGGACCTGGCCTGCAACCCAGGCATGTGCCCTGATTGGGAATTGAACTGACAACCTTTCTCTTTGAAGGATGCTGCGCAACCCACTGAGCCACACCAGCCAGGGCAAAAAAAAAATGTTTTTAATTAAAAAACAAAATGAGCTTAGAAGACAGAAAATACTGGAAACCTCAAAACCAACCTATCCCAGCCTTCCTAGTGGTTGTGACCCAAATGGTAATTGCATTTTGTGGTACAAGTCTAAGACCTTGAACTTGCTCCAGCTACCTTAGGTTATAATTACATTTTTTTTTTTTTAACAAGCAAAAATTTATTTAGAAAGTCACAGCGGTATGAAACAAGTTACAGAGGCAAAAGAAGGCCCCTTGGAGCTTAGGAAAAGAAAGGTACAGAGAACGAGACTGGGGGAAGGAGGAAGGAAAGGTACAGATGTGCTCCAGAGAACAGTAATTACTTTTTTTAAAGATTTATATATTTATTTTTTAGAGAGAGGGAAGGTAGGGAGAAATAGAGGGACAGAAACATCAGTGTGTGGTTGCCTCTCACGTACCCCCCTACCGGGGACTTGGCCGCAACCCAGGCACGTGCCCTGACTGGGAATCAAAACTGCGACCCTTTGGTTTGCAGGCCGGCGCTCAATCTACTGAACCACACCAGCCAGGATTAAATATTATTTTATATTAGCACTAGCATCTCCCATTTTTCCTGTGGGCCAAATTACCTTATAATATCAGCATTCATTAATTCATTTGTTCAATTAATATTTATGTATTAAAAATGTTCAGTGAATATTTACTGAACACTTAACATTTTGCCTGTGTTAGATACTATGCCAATCCCTTCAGTATTACAGAGGTGAATACAGATGTGGTCTTTGTTTTTTATGATCTCACAGTATAGTACTCCCACCCCCCGCCCTACCCCCCCAAAAAAAAGAAAAGAAAGGAAAATGAAGAAGTGGGTGATAAGGCAGAAGCCCTGGGAGCATAAAATTGGTGTTAACCTAGGTTGGGGGTTAGGAAAAACCTCATGAGGAAATGATGCGTGTGGCATGAAGGGTGAGTAAGAGGTAGCTGGGAGAAGGGAGAAGGATGAATAATATTGACAAGCTCAGAAGTATCAGGGGTAATGATAGCTACCCATGTATTGGCTGTCTGCATGTCCCCTTTTAGACTTTGTTATGTTCTTTGGCTCTTTGTTTCCGTAGGGTCAGCTTCTGCCCCAGAGATTGGTCAGACTCTAAGGCAGAAACCTGCCTAGCTTTCCTACCTGGTCTCTAGTTGTAACTAAGTAATTCCTTTTTGTTGAGCACCTGCTATGTGCAGGTCCACCCGGTACATCAGTTCCAGTTGCAGCGGTTAAAGAACAAAGGCTCTGGAGTAAGCAGACATGAGTTTGAATCCTGGTCTCTCCACTCCCCGCTTGACAGCTTTGTGGTGTTTGCTGAATCGTTTTCTCTGAGCCTCATTTTTCTTACTGTAAGCAGGGATAATCTTCACAGGGCTGTTGTGAGGATAAAAAGGTCATAAAGTGGCTGACATATGAGAATACAAGTGCACAGTCCCCTTTTTTTTTAGCCTCTTGGGGCCATATATGTTTTGGGATTTAGAATTCTTTGGACTTTAGGAGGCGATACAGTGCATATATTGTAATTTTCATACAATGTCCCAATCCAGGGGTCAGGAGCAGCATCTTGTAATCAGCTATGTAAAAATTTCTGCGGTGCTGGAGAACTAGGTATCAGTGTTCATACCAAGTGGGAGATATGAAGACTGTAAATACTTTTATGCCACAAACTTACAAAAAAGTACAAAAACACTTTCAGTTTTTATCACTTTGGGGACTAGGAATTCTGGATAAGAGATTGTGGATTTGAGTAAAGCCATAATGATCAAATCAATACAGTATGGACATAGTAAGGGAAATGGACCAGAGATGCAGAAAAGAGAACCGAGAAAAAGTCTAGCATGTATGAGGATTTAATACTTGTCTAATGTGGTAATGTCAGTTCAGTAAGCAAAGGATGATTAAATAAGTCATGCTGCTACAAGTGGCTATTTGTAAAAAACCAAAATTGTACCATCTGTTTAACTCTTATGTAATAATAAATTGCAGATCAAGCGGAGTCTTGTAAGGAAAGCTAGGAAACTATAATCTTGTGTGGGGAGGCCTTGCAAGTAGAAACCTGGAAGCTATGAAAGAAAAGGTAGCTGTTTGCCTCTTCAAACATTGAAAACTTTTGTGTGGTAAGAGAGATACTGACATAGAAAGTCAACTGAAACACAGTAAATTTGGGAAAATGCAATGCAGAGGGCAGGTAAAATTTAATAGCTGATGTGATATGCAGGAACTCTTGTAAATTGACAATAAAAGGAAAAACAAAAAAATGGGCAGTTGCAAGAAGAGCAAATCTAAAGAGCATATGAACAGATGCTCAAATTCACAAGTAGTCAAGGAAATGCAAGTTAAACAGTGAGATGCCCTTTTCTTTTTATCAACAAAAATTTTTAAAAATTGCTTATGAGAATGTGGAAAAAGGCTACTCTTTGGACATTGTTAGTAGAAGTGAATTCTTGTGGCTCAGTGGATTGAGTGCTGGCTTGTGAACGTAAGTTGGCTGGTTCAGTTCCTAGCCAGTGCCAGGTCCCCAGTTGGGGGCATGCAAGAGGCAACCGAACGATGTTTCTCTTGCACATCAGTGTTTCTCTCCTCTTTCTCCCTTCATTCCCCTCTCTCTAAAAATAAATAAATAAAATCTTTAAAAAAATTAAAAAAATGCTTGACATCCCTAATTATAAGAGAAATACAAATCAGAACCACAAAATACCACTTCTCATCCATTAGGATGGCTTCTATCAAAAAAAACACAAAATAAAAAGTGTGGTGAGCATGTGGAGAAATGGAACCCTATGCTCTGTAGGTGGGAATATAAAGTGATGCAGGCACTATGGAAAACAGTATGGCAGTTCTGCAAAAAATTGAAGTAGAACTACTATATGATCCAGCAATCTTACCTCTAGGTATATATCCAAAAGAATTGAAGGTTAAAGAGAGTTTTGTGCACCCATGTTCATAGAACTATTTATAATAGCCACCAGCTGGAAGGAACCCAAACGTCCATTGACACACGGATAAACAAAACATCGTATATACATATTATGGAATGTTATTCAGCCTTTTAAAGGAAGACAGACACACAAAGGGGCACATGTAAGGTTACATTTATATGAAGTTAGAAAATAGGAGTGTGTCATTTCAGATGTGTTGGGGATTCTCCCTCTTTTCCCGTACCCCCCTCCCCTGCCCCAATACAAGTTCAGGATCTCATGTCTTTGGATTAGGTTTAAATATGTGTGTCTTCCCTTGTTAGACTGGCGGTGACCACTCTTTACATCCCTGTCACCCAGCCTAAGTCAGGAAAAGCCTGTGTTCAGGCATTCCCACTGAGCAGTCTAGGGCTTATCTTCTAGAGTTAGCTCAGCCTTCCTCATGCCTTCCCTACTTTGCTGGGCTGTGGTGCCCAAAGATGTGCCCAGTGGCAGAAGCTTGACTGACAGCCTGCCGGTTGGCACCTCTGAGTAGGCTACAAACCCCCAGGGGTCTTTGCTTGGGGCTGGGCCTGGGTAAAGCTGGTGGGAGGACATGGGGGGGTGGGGTTAGAGGTCGCCGTGACTGGCCTTGACTCTGTCCTGTGGTTCAGCTCTGCCCTTACCTAACCTCCAGGAGCTAGGAAGGAACAGGACAGATGTAACATGATTCACTGGAGCCGGGAGAGGGGAGGACCCTGCTCCCGCCTACCCTTGGCCGCTGGTTAGCAGATGGCTTGAGTTCAAGGTCTCTCCGATTAGGGACTTGGGACCAAAGCCCTGTGGTGGAACAGTCTCTGCTGGCGTAATTGTCTCATGACTGATTCTGTTAACAGCAGAATGACCTTCAGGTGGCTCATTTCTCTCTCTCTCTCGTACCCCATTTTGTTAACCCGGTTGGTTTTGGGAAGAGTTTTGGTGCCCTTTCAACTTTGTAGAGTACAGAACTTCTACAGTACGGCATGAGGTTGAGGATATGGGGGTGCCAGGAGGACCTGGCATCTAATGATTCAGAAGTCACAGGGCATTTGGTTGAAACGTCCATTGGGAGCCCATAAGTAACTTTGGTGACCCTGACTGCTTTGTGGGCCTCTCAGCTTTGACGGACCCCTTCCTCTCTACATACTGGGCGCAGAGACCCTTGAAAGATGGTTTATTGATCACCGATCTCATGGGTACCCAGCGAAACCTCCAGATGAGTGTGTCAGTATAGGTTGGGTTTCCTAAGTCTGGTATGTTTATAGGCCTTCTGAAGATGAAGAGGTGAAACTCGAACACTTGAGTTGGTTCTGGAGGACGAGTAGGCGTTTGCCAGGTGACCTGAGAGGAGGCACAAAGACATTCTAGACAAAGAACAGCTTACGCATGACTACTTTTAGAATAAAATAGAAGCACAGAGAGAGGTGACCCCTGGGTGACACAGCTAGAAGGAGTAGGCCGGGGACTCAAATCTACACGCGGTTCCCCAGTGTGCGTGAGAGCTAGCCAGGGGGGCTTGTTAAAAATACAGATTGCTGGGCCACATCCCCGGAATTTCTGATTCAGTAGGTTGGGGTCGGGCCTGAGATTTAGCATTTCTAACAAATTCTGGATGATGCTGAGGCTGCAGGTTGCGGGAACCGTACTTGAGAGCTACTTAGGAGTGAGGTGGAACCATTGTTCCCGTTGTATTTGTGTTGTAGAGAAGATACTTCTCCCCAGCCCTCAAAGCTGGCATCGGCTTAGCCTCAGCCAGGTGAGCTGTGACGTGGCAAGGACTGTGGCAGGCTCTAGACGAGTGTCTGTCATGTTTGATCCTCATGACAGATGAGGAAACAGGCATAGAAAACATTGTTTTGTTCACTTGTCCAAGGCCACAGTACAGAGTAAATGAGCGTAGGCCTGAGCTCAGGAAAGGCTTCTTAGAGGAGCTGTGTGTGGAGTTCTAGTAGCTTCACTCTCTAGTGAAGGACTTGGAGAGCACCAGAGCACTTTACATTTGGTCTGCACAACAACCCTTATGAGGTGGGGATTCATCATTACCAATGAGGACTTTGGAGCTCTTACAAGTTAGGTACTTTGCAAAAAAAAACGATAGGTAGTGTGTGACAAAACCTAGATTAGAACCCATGTTGTCCAACTGCATTGTCCATACTCTTAGTCACTAGACTGTTTTTCTTTTAATGTAGCCACTGTCTATTGAGCCAGGTATTTGCATGTATTCTCATTACAACTCTGTCAGATAGGTGTGTTATTCCCATTTTGTAGATGAGGAAACTGAGGTTCTGAGTGCAATGCCTTGTGCAGGCACCCAGCAGATGGGGACTGTCCCCTGTCGTGACGGCTCATTGCTTAAACTTCCTTCCCCAGCTCATCACACAAACCTTTAACCACCACAACCAGCTGGCACAGAAGGCCCGGCAGGAGAAGAGAACTCGGCAGGAGAACGAGCGGCGGGAGAAGGCGGAGCGGGCGGCTAGGCTGGCCAGGGAGGCCAAGTCAGAGAGCTCTGGGCCCCAGATCAAGGAGCTGACAGATGAGGAGGCAGAGAGGCTGCAGCTAGAGATTGACCAGGTAAGAGTGGGCTTCCCTCATTTGCCTCCTGAGTTGGCACTGGAAGAGAGGACCCTCCTGCCAACTGCTTTGCCCTCTGCCACAGAAAAAGGATGCAGAGAATCATGAGGCCCAGCTCAAGAATGGCAGCCTTGACTCACCAGGGAAGCAGGTGAGATGGACTGGGGATGCTTGGGAACTTCTGGGGACTCGAGCCTTGCCCTGTCTCCAGAGTACTCTTCCCTCCTTGCCCTCAGCTTTGGGGTCCTCCCCATACTTCAGGATCTCACTGTTTCAGAGGCATTGGATTAAAGGATCTGTGTTTGGGCTTAAGGCCCAAATCCACTGGCCTTAAGCCTTGGCAAGAAAGCCCCAAAACCAGAGAGGGCAGTGCCTGCGCAGGTACCATTCAGGTGGGCTGGGGTCTGCGGGCCCAGCCTCGCACTTTGTGGTGGGACACTAATACATCTGGGGAGTGAGCCCCTTGAGCCTCCTCCCACTGACCGAGTCCAGATTTGCAAACAATTGCTGAGGTGTTAATTGGCTTTCTGGAGGCTCTGTTCTGAGACAGGGGTCTTAACCCTACAAAGAAGAAGGGTGTTGATCATTTGGCAGCCTAGTTTTATTTCAGAACAAACCTGCTCATGGCCATTTTGTGACCTTCAAATTTTCTGTGCTGGGCTTTCTTCCCAAATCCCTTGGCTTGACACCCCAGTTGGATCCTATGGGTCCATTCTGATTGTCACTGCCGCTCAGCTGTGTCCTTTATCACATGGTTATAACAGTCTGAGCTCCTTTCAGAGACCAGAACCACGTTTTACCTCTGGCTCCCAGTGGGCCATAGAGTATACAGGGAAAGGTCTGTTTCATTGTGTGGCTGTATGCTCAGTGCCAGTCCTGGGCCTGGCCCAGAGGGTTTCAGTCTGTGTCTGTCAGCTAAGTAGCTGAGCACTCTGACTGCGAACAGGAGGCTGAGGACGAGGAAGAGGATGAGAAGGACAAAGGAAAACTGAAGCCCAACCTTGGCAATGGGGCAGACCTGTCCAACTATCGCTGGACCCAGACCCTGTCAGAGCTGGACGTGAGTAGCAGGGCCAGGGTAGAGTGCGGGAGCCAGCCTGGGGCCCCTCCTGACCGCCTCTGTGTCATGCAGCTGGCAGTGCCCTTCCGTGTGAACTTCCGGCTGAAAGGGAAGGATGTGGTGGTGGACATCCAGCGGAAGCACCTCCGGGTGGGGCTCAAGGGACAGCCTGCGATCATTGATGGCGAGCTCTACAATGAGGTGAAGGTGGAGGAGAGCTCCTGGCTCATTGAGGACGGCAAGGTGGTGACAGTGCATCTGGAGAAGGTGCGAGGGGCCCAGCCTCCTGGCCCGCATCTTCATTCTTGATGGAGGAGGAGGAGGAGAGGGTTTCTGCTCATTGACTCAGGGACCATGCTGGGGACCTGGGGGACATATTAATCACACAAGACTTCAAGTAGGTCTCACCCATTTCAGAGTCAGGAAAAATGTAGTTCATAGATTTGTTTGATGTCTTTACATCTAGGAAAGGGTAGAGTTAGGATCAAAACAGTCTTTGTTACCAAATCCTCGCCTTTCCATTAGGTTCATGTATTTAACAAATACTTGAACACCTACTATGTGTCAGGGACTATTCTATATGTTGGAGAGAGAACAGCGAACAAAACAGAAAACTGCCCTCAGGAAGTGTACATTCTCACTGTCCCTCAAAAACATGGGACACAGACACCAGTAAATACAGGCAGTCCCTGTCAAGTGCCGCAGGTGTAAGGAGAGCTGCCCATAGCACTGAGGCCCGTCCCGGCCGACCTGACCCGCCGTGGCTGCCTCTCTGTCACCCCACTGTGCTCTTGGCACTTGCGTTTTCTCTCAGTTGGGATGTCCTTCCCTGCTCTTTAAATCTGGTGCAGTGTTTGTCCTAGCTGGGAGTCGCACCGGTTTCTTTCCCTTCGCCCTGGGTGGTCCCTCCATCCACGCTTCGTTCTTTCCTTTATGCTGATTTGTAACTGGTGGGGTCAGTCCCCCCAGCCACTGTGGAGGGCAGAGGTCCTGCTCCTTTTTACTTATGGCCCCAGCATAGGCCTGCTTGGGTCTCAGGTGAAGGATGTGGATGGGAGTTTGGTTTCTGGCAGGGTTGGTGGGTAGTTCCTGGGGCACAGAGTGAGCTCTTGCCTACCCCCTGGTGGTTCTTCTCCCCTTCCTCACAGATCAATAAGATGGAGTGGTGGAGCCGCTTGGTGTCCAGTGACCCTGAGATCAATACTAAGAAGATCAACCCTGAGAACTCGAAGGTGAGCCCTGGCTGGTTGGGGAGCTTTAGCCGGGAGAGGCGGGCCTAGGTAACCCCAGAGCTTCACCTGTTCCCATTGCTTCCTGCCCCCAGCTGTCAGACCTGGACAGTGAGACGCGTAGCATGGTGGAAAAGATGATGTATGACCAGAGACAGAAGTCCATGGGGCTGCCTACCTCGGACGAACAGAAGAAACAGGAAATTCTGAAGAAGTGAGCATATCAGAGATTGGGGTTGGGGGTGGTGCATATTGGGGGGCTTGGATTTGGGTGATAACAGCAAGTGGGTCGTTGAGCACGACGCAGGAGCTGTCCTGCCCCTTCCAGAATGAGCCAGCCAAGTTTATGGCTTTATTGCCTCAGCTTGCCTACCCTAATCACTTGCTGAGGTGATCTTGAGGGCAAGGCCACCAGAGGATGGGGAGGAAGATAATAGGCCGTCATTGCCATTTACAGGAGAATAGTGCCAACATTAGTACCTTACCTTCCAGCCTCACGGTCCCAAATGGGCCTCAGGGACCCCATGCCTGGTCTGGCTCTAAGTTGCTCAGGATTCTAAAGAGATTAGACCTCATACGGGAGGTGGGGAGAAAGGGCCTGACTTTGGGGGAGAGGGACAGCCTGTTTCACTTTCTTCCTATTTTCCCTTCCCAGGTTCATGGATCAGCACCCGGAGATGGATTTTTCCAAGGCCAAATTCAACTAGCTGTTTGCTTCCCTGAACTCTTGGGGCTGAGGCTACAGCCATCTACCTGTCTTTCCCACCCTTCCCTGGGACTTGAGAGCCTCAGAGCTGAGGCAGGCATGGCGCTGGCCCAGGCACACAGGTCCCAGGGCATCATGGAAGAAGGGCTGAGGCCCTGGAGGGGGTTCTTATCCTCCCCAATTGGCCTACTGTTCTGTTACACATTAAAACTATTTACCCAGTTCCACTTCTTTTCTCTTCCCTTTGGCCTTTACCTGGAAGGACAGACCTCTTACGCTTGCTGCAAGGAGCTGGGGGCTTGGCGTCCAGCTGATTCTGCCATGTGAACTAGGGCAAGTTCTTGCCCCTTTCTGGATTCAGTTTCTCATTACTTAAAGGGAGGATTAAAGCAAGACTTGCCGTTTGTGTGTGATTCTGAGCAAAGGTGTTTTTTTGGCTACAGGGACCAGAACATATGTCTGATTTTCAGAGGGGCTTGTGCCTCAGCAGAGTTTCAGACCAGCTGTACTTGATTTCATTTTCATCTATGACATCTTCCCACTGCAGTGGGTCTGTCCTCCAGCCCTGGGTCAAGTGTTTCTGAAACTACACACTTGTTTCACAGGGGCTGAGAGCAGCAGAGGCGGGGGGAACAGCCCCGGGCTCAGGTCTGCTCTAGGTGTGGCAGGCAGCTGGCCCGGAGGATAGGGTAAAGTCCAGTGGGGCCCTCTTTGTGTCTCTGACCTGGACCTCTGCAGGTTTCAGGAGGTTTCGGGGCTTCTAAGAGTCAGCTGCTCAGGTGGTGCCAGGGCTAGAGAGGTGCTCGCCTCTGCCCAAATCCAGTCCCCCACCTCATTTTGGCCAGAGAGTGGAGGTCCCTGAGGGCAAGGGGCCGTAGAAGATACGGTTACAGTAGCAGGAGCATCTAGATTGGCTTGCCCAGGGTATTCTGCCCTGTGGATGAGGGCAGAACTGAATTTCTGGAACATAGCATATTTCAGCAATTCAGAGTAGCTTGAGACTTCGAGGCTGTGCAGTACCTAGCTTTGTTTCCCAAGCTTGGGGCGGCGGGGGGGGAGAGAGAGAGAGAGAGAGAGAGAGTGTGTGTGTGTGTGTGTGTGTGTCCCGGGAATGCCAGTACTGGTCCCAAGGCTGGGTTAGGAAAATCGGGCTCCAGGGCCAAGGCTGGGTTGGAGGGGCTGTTACATCATTCCTACTATGTTCTTTGGTATCCTTGCTCTCCAGTGCCCTGTGGTCATTTTCAGCCTGGGGGAGGCCTTGACCTGGATGAGAGAGCTTGAGGAAAAGGGCCCGTTTTCACTACTGGGCCCTGTGGTCATAACCCCAAGGGACCATCCTGTGTTCAACAGGAAATTGGATAGAGAAGAAGAGTTTGTCTAGTCACTGAAGGGTGCTCGTGAAGATGATAAGGATTTCGGGGGCTATAGGTGAGGTGGGAGCCAAGGTGGTCCTGGACCCTTCCAGCTTGTTCAGTCAAGTGGGTTGGTGGGTCTCCTCTGGCCTCGCTCCTGAAAGAGACCCTCCTACGTGAGTAGCTAAGCAGGATCCTTCGGAACCCAGCTGGTATCCGGGACCCTGCTTCTGCAAGCAGGTCTGCTCGGCAGCTTGGGGGCACAATCTCTGAGGCCAACTTCTAGGTCCAGAGCCACAGTTTCTAGCTGTGTGGCCCACTAAATTCCTTGACCCTTCTGAAAATGATTCCACTCCATTGTTGGGAAGGTCAGGAAGGTAACAGTGAACCACAGTGTTGGGTAGTGCCAGGGAGAGGTGGAGGGAGTAGCAGTTCTGAGCTGGGTGAAACCGCAGCCGCCTGCAGGCAGTGACTGGATGGCAGGGGTAGTCGAGGCAGGTGGTCCTTGGACCGAATGCCAGAAACCACATATGAGAGTTCAGGTACAGACACTGCTGGGCTATTGCCTGGAGCTCAGTGATTCTGAGAGGTCAGTGTTACCGCTCCCACCTTAGCCTTCTGACCATGACCCTATGACACTAAGCCAGGCGGGACACTCTATCCTGCTTCCTACTGTGGGCAGTAGCCTGGCAAATGGGACAGAAAGGACAGTGTCACAGCCAGGCTAACAAGGCAGACATCTTTATTTCCTTTGTACTTTTAACTAGGGTCACCTTACGTGTAGCGAAACCACGATCACTGTTCAACAACGTAATGGAGTAGGCACTGCCCACAGAATTTGACCAAGACACTCCTGTGCCCCAACCCAGTCCATTCAAGATAGGCTGCTTTCGCTGTGATCCTCTGCCACCCTCTGTGGAAAGAGGGTGGTGTGCATGATTGGGTGGCAGGTTAGAGAGCGAGCTGGGATTCAATCCCAGAAGGAAGGTAGTAAGTTTTTGCTTTCCATGGCCCAGGCTGCCTGAAGGCCAGGGACAGAAAGGGACAAGTCAGGCCAGCTGGGGATCCAGGGGAATGCGGGCACCACGGCCCAGTGAAGTGCACATGTTCCAGGAATCAGGCAGCCGGAGTGGGCACCGTCTCCCCCAAAGCGGGTCCTGGTCCCCCTCATCATCCTGCGGGCCGTGCGTCTCTCAGAAGGGGTTGGCTGCGGTCCCTGGGCCCAGCTGGGGTTAGCAGTACACCTGGAGCAGGGGCGCCCCTGAGGAGTCTGTGTCGGTGCCCTGGAAGGACGAGTCGTGGCTGGCTGGGTATCCTGATGGGGAAGAGAGGAGGAAATAGGCTGAGAGGGGAAGGAGCTCGTGCAGGTCCCACGGGCAGGGAGAAGCCCACTGGGGAGGAGAGTGAAACTGGGAGCGGGGCCTGTCTGATCCTGGCTGGGCGACCCACCCAGTTTCTTGATCTCTGAGTCCCAGACTTCCTCTCTGTGAAAGGGTAACAACCCCGCTCCCAGGGGCTTGTGAAGGCCAAGACAACAGTAGAAACCGTACAGAGTGCCTTCAGTCCCAGACGCCACCCTCCACTCTCCTCTCCAGTGACCTGGGCTTAGAGGCTGGAGTACCAGCACGTCCAGGTTGCCTGTTTGGGCACCGCCCTCCTGCAGATTCAGGAGCAGTCCCCTGGATCTCTCCCAACTGAACCCTTTAAGCTAGCTTGCAGGATTGGGATGGCTTCTGTGGCTCCTCAGGTTTCTCGTCTCTTTCTGATCCCATCCGCACCCACCCCAGGAGGAAGTTGGTTGGGGGCCCCTAGGGCAGTCCCCTTTCCTCTCCACACTCCTCATCAGGCCAGGACCAAACCTGGGGCTCCAAGAGGCCTCAGCTTCCTGGCGATGGCATCTGCAGTCGTCTCCTGGGAGATCTGCACTGTGAGTTCTAGAAAGGGAACATGAGGGGGCAGCTGTCATCACGTCTTCTCAACTCCACTCCCCACTTCTGCCCCCAGCCCAATGAGAGAGGGGCTGCTCACGGCGGGGCTGGAGAAACAGTGTTTAAAACAAAGACAGGTAACAAGTGTATGCATGTGTGTGTGCGCACGTGTGCTTGTGGATATGCACAATTGGCGGGGGGAGGTGTTTTAATTAGGCCAGGACAGGTCAGAGGTCCGAATACATATAAACTCCTGAGTCCTGTTAACCAGGCCGGGCCTGGAAGCTACTCCCAGCAGGTGGTAGCAAGAGATAGAAGGAGACTGTAAGGAGATAAAGAGCAGTGGAGGAAAAGGAGGAAAAGGAGGAGGAAGAGCAGGGATTGGCTGAGGGGTGGACCCAAAGTGGCCAAAGACCCCAGTGCTGCCCTCCCTTGGCCAGGGCCCCCTCTATTCTGTTCCTCGGCCCCGTGGGACCCCACCTACCATCCTGGCTGAGCCCAGAGCCCACCATGGTCTCATGGCCACTGTCAGGGGCAGTGGCAGCAGGGGCAGCAGCCCGGGTTGAACGCCCCTCTGTGGTCTGTGGTCGGGTGCGGCTCTTCCGGGTACTGATGCGAATGATGCCGCGTACCAGGCGGCCCTCAGCATCCTGCTCATCCAGGTGGTAGTCCTGCGTGATGCTGCTGATAAGGTCCGAGATCTTACTGGTCTTCTCCAGGAACACAGTGTCTGACGTGCACTTGGCCAGCTCGTCAATCTGGTGTACACTGAACAACTCCGTCAGCTTTTTGAAGATAAGCACATCGATCTCTCGGCTTGACATGGAGCCACTGCCCACCTCAGGCAGGTCCAGGTCCGACTCGTGGAAGGAGTAGTATTCCTCGGAGCCACGGGGGCTGCTGGCAAGGGTGCTCGGCAGGCTGTGCCGCATGAATGGGGGCTCAGCCAGCGGCTCCTTGCAGCAGGAGTCCGCATCAGGGGCTGGAGCGGTGGTACTGCGGTAAGGATATACAGGAATGCCTTTGAGCTTGACATCAGGGTAGCTGAAGCTGCTCCCCATGGTTGACTTGAGCCGCTGGCCATCCCGCCTGCCGGAAGGTGGACGGTCAGGACTGGGGGGCACTCCATTGTGCTCCTTGGCCCAGTTGGCTTCAGCAGTGCCCTCAGGGGAGTCCCCGGTAGACAAGCAGGGGCTGCAGCCCCGGACACAGGCTCCGCAGCGCTGGAGGCAATCCCGGCAGCGGCGGAAGCAGAAGGCAGCCAGGCACCAGTCCCACACCCAGGGCCGCCAGAGCAGGCAGCAGGCTGGGGGCTCCGCGGCAGGCTCAGCAGAGCTGGAGATGAAGGTAAGGCTTTCGGGCCCATGGTGGCCAGGATCCTTGGGGTCTGGCCTACGGGTGCGGCGGCTTGTTGGGGGCTGAGATGGTTCATCATAGGTCTCCAGGCATAGCTCTGATGGCCGCTCCCAGGGTCCCAAGCGTGGGGGCCCAGATGATGGGCGTGGGTGTCCAGGGCGGGGCATGGCTCATTACATGGTTTGCTGCAGCCAGGCACCTGTGAGGAGAGGTCAGGAAGGAGTCAGGATCAGAGACTAGGAGCAAGTTCCTACGCTGATCCTTTCTGATCCCATCCGCTGAGGAGCTTTAGACTTCTGGTTTCTGAGAGGCCTGCGATGTGGGTGAGCCCAAGTATGCCCACAGTCCCTCATCTAGTGTTCCCTTCCTCTCCAAGGAGGAGGTTCTTTCTGAGGTTTAATCTACACATCGAAATCTTCTGGAACTTCACACCCATTAGGATGACTACTATTGGGGGGTGGGGAGCCATGGCTGGTGTGACTCAGTGGATTGAGTGCCAGCTTGCAAACCCAAGAGTCACTGGTTCGATTCCCAGTAGGGGGCATGCGAGAGGCAACCACACATTGATGTTTTGCTCCCTCTCTCCCTCCCTTCCCCCTCTCTAAAAATAAATAAATAAGTGAATAGAATCTTTAAAAAAAAAACCAGAAAGTGACAAGAATTGGAGAGAACGTAGAGAAGTTGGAACCCTTTTGCATTGCTGGTGGGAATGCAGAACAGCACAGCTGCTGTGG